AATTATTCCACCAGATTAAAGTTTTTAGAATAGAGTACAGCGAGCTAAGTCCTGATCTAATGTTAAGGCGAAATTTAATTAAAATCAATGATTAGACACAGCTAGTTATTTCCCTCACAACTGTGGATTGACAGTTTTCCATCTCCGCTGAAAACGTCGAGCCTTTTTCCACACCGATAATGAATGCAGTTGAAATGCAGCGCAGAAATCAGTTACAAAATTATTTACCCGCAGTCAGCTGCAAAATGCGGTCAGCTGGACCGGACATGGCAAACGACAGGCGAAGAGGGAGTGGTCAAGAGGGAGAGGGCGAGGGAGAGGGGGATAGAGAGTGGGTAGACAACAGCGTTACAGTTGCAGGCCGTATTGTTCGATTTGGACCAACGTGAGCTCATAAACTTCCATTACCAAGGCTCTGGCTGGAATCCATTTGTATATTGCATATGTATGCGCATGCACATATACATATGTCTATATATATATGTGTGTGTGTGTGTAGCGCGTGCTAAGGCCGGCGACCATTGTTATAACGCGAATGTTATCCTTGTTGTTGCTGCTGTTGTTTTTTCCCCATGGCGTGTATATGAAAATTAAAATTGTTGACAATTGTCATTTTTTGCTGCTGTTGCCGTTGCTCCTATTGTTGTTGTTGTTGTTGTTGCTGTTGCTGTTGCTGTTGCTGTTGCTGTTGTTGTTGTTGCTGTTGTGTGTTGTCAGTGTTGTTACCGCGGTTGTTGTTTCTGCTTCTCATGCGTCTGTTGTCGCTCTTGTTGCTCCTGTTGTTGTTGTTGTTGTCGGCAATGCCACACGCAACTAACCGCAATTTGATTGCTATGCATTCGCCCGAATCGTGCTCCGCGCCAAATTGAATGCATTTTCCGTGCCGTAGATTCGGATAAAAAGCCGTCACCAGCTTTGCATGTGTGCCACAGGCGCTACTGCTGCTGCTGCTGCCACATGCATGCCCGTTCTCGGTTGCAGCTTCAACTTGGACTTGGACTACATAGAGGAGCCATTGCTTGGGTTGTTTGTTCTGCTTGTCGCTCGTTTGATTTGTTGCCGTGTTTTGCACTTTTCTCATATCTCACAAATGCTCAGCATGTTTCAGTTTATGCCACACTTAATTCTCTACAGGTGTGCACAGGTGTGCGAGTGCTCCATTTCACTTTGCAGATTATATTCAATTTGCAAAGACACCACATCGAATTAACAAAAACATTTTGCAAAATCTATGTGGCTTTCATACACAAATGCATAGAGCATATATGTATATATGTTTATGTTTATCAACAATATATGTATATTTAGTATATTTGTGGCTGTACGTGATTTATGTCGTCTGGTCGAACAACACCTCCCACACCATTTAGTCGAGGCTGATGCGTCGGCCGCTCATTACACATTTTTCACCATTGGCAAATGCCCGATGATTGTTGCATATGCATGGTCAAATATTTGCACAGGACTGGACAGGACAGGACGTGCCGGCTCTGAATTGCGGTCGTACAATCAAAATATGTGCATGCATTCGTGGTTTTGCGGTGCCACTTGCTTTGGCCTCAAAACATCGACTCGAATCGTTTATATAATTTCGGGTCGAATTTATTTAGTGCTTAACGCAAAACCAATGCCAATCACACTCGATTGAAAATCACAATTATTCGCTCTAGTCTCTCAACTAATTCAATTTTCATGGCGAGCCATTGAGGCGTGCTGCAAAAACTGAATCGGGCTTAATTAAATTCTTATCCAGTTACTTCAAGCATATTTTCTCTAAAGGGTCGTGCTTCCAAATTAGTAGTAGAAAATGCCAAAAAGCCGCGGGCAGGACATCGCTTACTCGGTGTGTGTGTGCACAATGTCTGCACTGGACACCCTACAGGAGACTTCCACATGTGGTCAGCCATAATAAAAAGAAAAATATTTGCGTTGGAGCAGAGAACATGAACTTTGGCCAGTCGAAGAGACTGAGCTGAATACTTAACAAAATATTTCAACGAATTAGCAAGCAGAGAGAGAGAGAGAGAGAGAGAGAAAGAGAGAGAGAGAGAAAGCTGAGTTGAGTAAATGAATTTAGATGTTTAACACGTCTAGAAATATTCACTTTACTTTAATAGACAAACATCAAGGAGAATAAAAAGAAATTCATAGCGAAAATTCAGTTTGTTTCGCTGGCTTTTTTCATGCTCGCCGTTTCTGCTGGGTCGCTGGGCTATGGATATAGAGGGACAGGACACGATATGTCTAGGCTGCCAGCTAGCGCTCTTAAGTTCATTAGGGCCACAGAATATAACATAATTATTCACTTACAATTTGCGCCACGACGCCTTAGTTTCAGCTTGTTTATGTGTGTGGCGTATACGTAATTTTATTTAGATGCCTGAGAGTTACCGCTGAAAAGATTGTAGCACCGTCTCTGAGCAGAGTGCAGGGCGGCAGCTGGCAGAGAGTGGAGAGCGAAGAGGATGAAGAGCGTGGCGAGCGTGCATCATTTTTGGCTTTAAGGGCGTCGCATTTGCAAAGTCAATAACAGACTCAACAAAGTCAACAGACAGGCTGCTAATGCCATTAGAAGACCTCAAACCGCCTGGAAAAGGCGCACAGAGGGAGCTGAGGTAGCGAAGGGGAATAGAACAAAATGGAGAAATGGCAAAACGTTGGCTTGTTAAACCGCAGCTCATTGCTGGCAAAATAAAACCAACATTGGCTCAGCTCAGCTCAGTTCAGCTCGGCTCAACTCAACTCAGGACCCGGCGCACAGGCCCATAAATTCCAACATTTGCCAATAAGTTGAAAGGCTAAAGTTTTACATTGGTAACCGAAAAATATGCAAAGCAGTCATAATTTTACTTTGCAACGAAATATTTTTGTATAAAATTGTTGGCAAACAAACTTTTTTATGCTTCAACTAATTTCAATCAGCTAACAAAAATGTGTAGCGCCCGACGCCTCTACCGCTATCGCCCTCCCCTCTCCAATTCGAAAAACACACGCAAAACTTTTGTCAATAATGCCGACGCCTTAAACCCAAAACCCAAAAACCCAAACCCAAACCCAAACACCCAAAACCGATTGCTTTGCCCTGCCAGAGTCCGGGAGTGCCGGAGTACCGGAGTGCCGGTGTCAAGACAAAGGCGCAAACACAAAGAGCACAAGCTAGAAATGATCCATGCACCTGGCGGCCTTGCTTCGGCTATTCCGGATGCTTCAGCTACCCCGACTGCTGCTGCTGCTGCTGCTGCTGCCTCTGCTGGCAGAGTTTATTAAGTTGGGTGTCACCTTTTCCTGTGTTGTCGTTGCCGGCATTGTGAACTTCTCAGCACATTCCCTTAGCCCCTGGCAATTTTTGTGTGTTTGCAAGTTTGTCTGTCTTGTTTTTGTTGTCACTTCATCAGCACGTTGCCCTGGCCCTGGTCCTGGCTCGCTCTGGGCCATGATTGGTAGATAGATGTCGCAACTGCAAAAGTGCCAAGGCGATTGCGAATCAAAAAATTGATCATTTCAAGTTTTGTGCGGCAGCTTCGCGCATATTATTATTCTTATTGCCTGCCCATTTGCATAATTGTCAATTGACATCAATCGAGTGTTTATTAAAAAGTTTTTCTCATTTCATCACATGTGCTCCCGCACCCTCACTGCGGCGGTCCTTTTGCCATTTGCCAGTCGAATGACTCTATATATACGTACACGTAAATGGGAATGGAAATGTGTCTGTAATGCCAAATCTTTGCAACTTGTGCTAACTCATTAATTAACTTTGCTGCCATTGTTTGCGAATGCTATTTATTCTCGGCTTATCACTGAGCCGAGCCCGAGTGCCCGTTGTGCAAAAGGACCGAAGAGAAAACAATAATAAGAACGCTGGGCCGAGTCTCGAAATCCCAAAGTTTTAATGAGCTGACGGCACACAGGTAAGTGGGCGCGGCTCGCCCTTTTAATTAACATTTAACGAAAAATTCGATTCGGCACATTAAGACATATGGCTTATAGTACTAGACTAGTCATCAAAAAACATCAATTGCGAAACTTTTCTATACGAATAGACAATGCCATTGATAAGCATTCTAGATCAATGCTTGAGCAAACACGCTCAATAATTCACTTCACAGCGCCATCTGTGTGCTCGTGGGAGAACTATAGGAGCTCAGCAAGGGCAAGGCGCTTTATTTGGACACCCAAGCTTTCATGTTTTTGTCGTTATAAAAAGCTCTATGAATTTCAAATGAATAGCAAATGGCAGCAAGGCTTAAAGGAAATATAGACTAAAAAATAGCTATTAATTATATATAAAAGTGATATATAAGTACTTAAAATAATAATAATAGATATATAAATTACTTTAATATAAATATTGTATTATGGCATTCTTATTATGGCAAAATATCTTTTTTTTAATTCTAAAAGCTACCGCTACTTAATTTTGACATATGAAAAGAATAGGTCCTATAAAAAAAAACAATGATGATTTCAATATTTTATTCATCTAAAAGCATGAGCTAAAAGCTATTGCTATTGCTTTTACACAGCTTTTAAAAATCCTTCCAAAGCGGCTTCACACATAAAAGTTCTAGAGACAAGTTCGCGTAGAGCTTTAAGCTCAGCGCTTACAGGCGTTACCGAAAATAAAGCTGGGACTTTTATCGACCAACAGAAACAAACGATATGTGAAAAAACCTACTTTTATAACAAAATCAATACAAATTTATTTACTGTATGGTAAATTATAATAATAAATAATAAAGTCTATTACTTTCAATTTAGTATTTTGAAAGCGAATCTCGAACATTTCGAAGGTATGGCAACGCCGTCAGCTTTTAATCATGTGCGCTGCAAGGCTGCAAAGCTATCATGTGCATGGCCTCTCTCTCCACATGTGTTTGTGTTTCTGTTTATGCGATAGACGAGTGTGTGTTCGTGTGTGTGTGTGTGCAGTGGAAGAGAGACAGAGTGAGAGAGGTTGCGCCCGACTTGCTCTCTTGGCACGCATTTGACTTCACTTGGAATTGAATTTTAGTGCGTTCGCGAGCAGCCTTACAAAACGTTGTGCTATGAACGGAAGCGGATGCCAGACGGAGAACTACATGAGCCAAAGGCACAGTGAACGCTGAGGCAAGAGGAGGGCAGCGCAAGAAAGAAAAGAAAACAGTGGAAAATCCAAAAAATGTTAGCATACTTTTTCGAGTACTTACTGTGCTGAACAACGTTAGTTAATCGCCAAACCAAACGGCTGATTGGTGCATATCGAAAGCGAATCAATGCCCAGCCGCAAATAGTTGAACGGAAAATATGACCCAGTTCCGAGCGGGATTATACGGCGTGCATATAAAGTAAATTTGACTGGCAATAGAATGCCATAAATGCATTTTGAGCACTTCAGCCTTTCAGCCTTTGCTTTGCATTCTCTCAGGCGACATGCGACACGAGCGACAGTCGCAACAATAAAATTGTACAATTTTTGATTGCTGTACGTGAAATGTGAATTGCTCAAGTTGTGTGCAATTGTCGCAGTTTAGTGCATACTACAACAATTACAGTGGAACACAAATACGAACGACACCAACTGTGTGTGTTTGTGTGTGTGTGTGTCGAGCAGCAGCCCCAAAACTTACCCTAGCTGGCTGCTCTTTTAACCAGCACAGCTGATTGTCAAGCGAGAGCAGCATTGCTTTCAGCGAACATGTTGGCTTGTTTGGTTTGAGCCAGAGAGCATCAGCAGCAGCAGCACCACCACCACCCACCACTCACCACTCCTACCCCCAACCCACGCTCCGTAAGTGAGTGAGTTTTGCCTGCTGGCTAACGTAACGAGTTTCAAGACACGCACGCCACACGACAAAGTACACGTAATACAGCCATAATCAAAGGTAGCCGTAGCCGTAGCCGTTGCCGTTGCCGTTTGCCGTTTGCCGTAGCCGTATAGCCCAGGTCAACAGCTCCAACTGGCACGCACGTGTGTGTCTGTGGTAAGTGCATAAATTGTATCATCTCGATGGTACTTGGCAGCTTTTACGGGGCCAGCGAACGGGCTCAAATGAAATATTTATGTCGCTTGGGTTAGCATCTCTGACCCGCGCCTGACAAACGAACAGAAACAACAACAACATATACATATCTGTCATTGAATGCTGGCTTATTTGTGTTTAAAGTGGGTTGCCAGGCGCTGATTGTGGAGTAACCATAGTTATAGTTAGATATATATTCATTTGTTTATAGACATAATTCGCTGGAATTGAAAACAATCCAGAAAAATCACATTTCTCCCACTCTCTCTGTCCTCCCCTCTCTCTCTCTCACACACTCTCTCTATATTTATTTATTTCCGCATTTAATGGGGAACGTATGGAATAACACCTGTTTTACTCAGAAACAATTTTAAACACAAGCACTCAAATAGATTGAGGAGATCTGTTTTCATGCTCGATTCGAGTATGAGTGTGTGGGTGTGTGTGAGTGTGTTTGGAAAGGGGTAGTGAAAGTGTTGTGCCATACGCCAGTCATACATATCAACACCTATACATATATTTATGTATTTATGTCGGCACTTGTGTTCTTCTTGTTGTTATTTGTATTATTCATTCCTTCAACAGATGCAGCCACACTTCAAGCAGAGCACTTCAACTGTGTCTGTGTGTGTGTTTTCAGTTATTTGTAATTTGATGTTTTCCGGTTGCATATTTATTTTCGTTTTTAATTGAAAACATATGCACACATCTATATATAAATTTAAGTAAATATATTTGAATTATTCATAAAATATTCATGTAATTTGTGATTAGATAGCGTGAGTGGAGATGTCCGCAAATATTCCGCGTATTTCTTCCCTATTTCCCTGTCAATTGTTTGGCATTTTGTGGTCGTGGCGCTGAAACATATTTGTGAATTAAATGCGCAAAATAAAATGTAAAAATAAACTACGTGACATTTCGCTGATTTGTGCCAGCTATAAAGCAGACAGCAATTAAATTTGCTATCAAATGAAATTAAATATTTAGCCGCGCTGCACACACATAACTCTATGACTGAATCACAGATGTCATGGCCCAGTGCATGTCGCATGACTTTTAATTATAAATAAATAAAAGCAATCAGGTCTCTATATGTATCTTATTAACTAGCTCGCCCTGCGGGCAACCCAACTAATTAAAATTGTAATCAATGCTTAGCCAATTGCCATGCAAGACTTTCAAGAAAACTCAATTACTGCTAACATGATTTGCTTTCATTGACGTTCAAGTATTTTTAGCTTTTGATTTAAGTTGTGCCTGAAGCTTCAGTGCAACTAGAAGTTAAATGTAGTTTATAGTCTATAGTTTTATATCAACGATATGGAGCATGAGACCTCATTATATATGCGTATCTTCTAATTAAATATCTAAATATATACTCTATGGAGCATAACAAAGTTATTTAATATATATAAATATATATTCTGGTATATATTAAAATATCTATTCATATTTTTATAAAGAGCAATTTCAGAGCTTATCTTAGGGTAATATGTTTATATAAATCTTATGCTAGCAAAGGTGAATTGTTATTCCATATTATTGCTTCCTACGAATAAGAAATTTTACTTTATTCTATATTTTTCTTGATCCATTTCTTAATTGATTTCCATGTATAAATTCCTGCTATAATATTTCCTTATACAAATTTGATTTATATAATATTTCCCGTACTTTAAGCATATTTGATATCTGAGCCCATTTCTCTTATCACGTTTTCCATTTCATTTCCATTTTCACTTTACAGCAATTTAAGTTAAACAAAAAAATATGAAGCTCTCGGACACAATGGCGACGCCGATTGAGGAAAAACTCGATCAAAACTTAAAGGTACGCCAAAAAAAAAAAATAAATATTAAAAAAAAAATTAAAAATAAATGCTAACAAATACAAATGGCATTAATCATGCCTCTAAAAAAACACACACACACAAATTGAAATTACGTGCAACAGGTGAGGTCTGGGATGGTTCATGTCAGCGATGGCAAAAGCAGACCAGAGCCCCTCCGACTTAGTCTAACAATGGAATTGTTGACCTTGCAAAAGTTGGAAATTGTTACGCCGACGAGCTCGCAGCACAATGGGCCGCCAATGGAATCCAAGGTATGTAAATAAACTTTGGCTTCATTAAGAGCACTTATCCCAAAAGTGTTGGGCTGTAATCTCTGCTGAGGATGCTCAACGAATCCTCGAGTATGTTTACCCCTGTTTATGTATATTGGTATTGGTATTTGTTCGTTGTTGCAGGAGCGAATGGTGCAAATAACGAGGCAGAAGCAGGGCGGCCTGGGACTGAGCATAAAGGGGGGCGCCGAGCATAAATTGCCCATATTAATATCGCGCATCTACAAGGATCAGGCGGCCGACATAACGGGTCAACTCTTTGTGGGGGACGCCATCATCAAGGTGAATGGCGAATATATAACGGCATGCCCGCACGACGATGCGGTCAACATACTGCGCAACGCCGGCGACATTGTTGTACTCACTGTGAAGCACTACCGCGCCGCAACACCGTTCCTGCAGAAGCAATGTGAGCATAAGCACGAGACACAACATCATCTGACACCGCATGAATAACGTATTCCATTAACATCCATTCAATCAATGCAGTAACAAAGGATACTCCTGATTCCGACAACGATGTCACCTGTGCGGAGCTAAAGGCCGACGAGGGCTACAAGTCATCCGTGAACAGCGGCACCATCAGCCGCAGCTGCAGTCGGCCAATGTCAATCTGCTCGGAGCCAGAGAAGCGCTGGACCGACGTGGTGGCAGGTATGAAGGAGCTGAGCTAAAGATACCTTTCAAGTTGGCCTCGCTGACACACACACACACACTCTCTCTCTCTCTCCCTCTCTCTTTGTCTCTGTCTCTGGCTATTTGTAGTGCCCCTAATGATGGCCTATGTCACGCGCTACATCTACGGCACGGACAAGCTGCGCCCCAACGCCTTCGAGGTGCGCGGCCTGAACGGCGTCACCACCGGGGTCATACACTGTGATGAGCTGGCGATACTCAGCCAGTGGCTCAAGCTGATAACGGACAATGTCGTTGGCCTAACACATCTGCAGGTAATACGGCAGCATTTCCACCAGGAACACTAGAAACTGGCTCAATGCATATTCAAATTCACTCATTCGCCAGATGAAGCTCTACAATCGCAACTTTGCTGTGGGCGAGCGCATCGAGTACATGGGCTGGGTCAACGAGGGCGTTATCAATAACAATATATCATGGCAGAGCTATAAGCCACGATTTCTATTGCTCAAAGGCACCGAAGTAATGCTGTTCGAAACGCCTCCAGTAAGTAGAATGAAGAAACTATCAATTACATTTGCGGTTGCAGAGAAAACTGCTAGGAAAACTCTAGATGAGAGTAGACGAATATATAATACCCTGCAGTCTGTAAAGAGCTTTAGTAATGCGTATTGGTATTTTCTTTAATATTCAAGTTATAGGAGTCTCATTTTTGTTCAATAACTTTGTTTTAATGCTCTTCAAATAAAACAAAATTCAGTTCTGCTTTAATTCGGCAAATATATTTTTATTTTTATTTAATTAATAAAACTATCAAGTTTTAGCATCCAAATTTATTTATGGATATTATCACCAATTTTTTGTTGTCGGAAAATTTGATCTTATTTAAGAAGCAAATACTAAAGGATTATTTATAGAGTTATATTTGGAGAAAAATCTAAACATTGATTCTGGAGTAGCTCTATATATATATAAAATAATATAATAACCATATAATAT